AACTGCCCCCTGGGTGGTTTCAGAGCCCTTCAGGCTGGTCCTGGAGGGCCCCAGGCAAGAGCAGGCCTCTTGGAGAGGCCCCCAAAAGGGGCAAGTTCCACCATTCCCTTCCTGGGCTCAAACACCTGCCTGCTGACTGGCGTTGGGTCCAGGCTAAACAAGATTAAAGACCAGCAGGGTGAGTTTCTCAGGAAGTTAAGTACATTCACTTTTTCAAGTACCAAGATGATTTTTTTTATTATTACTTTTTTGGCATTAAAAATTCACTTTGGGCTGGGGCAGTGGCTCATGCCTGTAATCCTAGCACTCCGGGAGGCCAAGGCAAGGCAAGAGGATCGCTTCAGGCCAGGAGTTTGAGACTCACCTGAGCAACGGCAAGACTCTGTCTCTACAAAAAATAGGAAAATTAGCTGGGCGTGGTGGTGAATGCCTGTAGTCTCAGCTACGGGAGGCTGGGGTGGGAGGATTGCTTGAGCTCAGGCCTCAGCTTTCAGCCCACAGTGGACTCCATTAACCTTTTTCTCACTGTGATAACATGGGTTCAACTCCCTTCCAGGCTGCTCTCCATTTGTAGCTCGAGTTTTCTTGGGCTATTTCTCTCTCTGTGAAGTGCTGGCGCTGGCATCTCTGGAGTGCCCCCACACAGCTCGTACGGTGGCTGCTGGGGAGGAATGGCCACCCTTACAGAGTGCTGGAGTGCCTTTCTCATGGCTCCCTGTGCTCTGGTGTCAGCCTTTTCAAGGAAGGTTTGAAGGCTGATTTCCCACATCTTCATTTTGAAGATTCTGTTGTCTACTGCTTTCTTCCTTTCATGTTGGGCTTACATGGTTTGGGGACTCCCCAGTGCTGGCCTCACCTGAACACTGCATGTTCTTCCAAGGACAAGGGCTGACCTGGGGCTGCAGCTACTGCTGCATGAGGGACTATGGCTGGGTTCCTCATGGAGCATCCAGAGGGCCAGCTTGTGTCTTTTTTTTGAGACAGAGTCTCGCTTTGTTGCCCAGGCTGCAGTGTCGTGGCATCAGCCTACCTCACAGCAACCTCAAACTCCTGGGCTCAAGCAATCCTGCTGCCTCAGCCTCTCGAGTAGCTGGGACTACAGACGTGCGCCACCATGCCCGGTTAATTTTTTCTATATATATTAGTTGATCAATTAATTTCTTTCTATTTATAGTAGAGATGGGGTCTCGCTCTTGCTCAGGCTGGTTTCGAACTCCTGACCCCGAGCAATCTGCCCGCCTCGGCCTCCCAGAGTGCTAGAATTACAGGTGTGAGCCACCGCGCCTGGCCCCAGCTTGTGTCTTAACGTCTTGGTATCCCCATCACTTAGGACAGGCCCTAGCATACATTAGGAGCTTAGTGAATGTTTGGTGAATGAAGGAACGGGTGGACAGATGATGGCAAGCAGGCTCAGCACCTCTGTCTACCTGCTACGTACTCAGTGATGACCTAACCCACTAAGCTCCCCGCAGCAGAGCTCCAGCCCCTGAGCTGGCGTCCCGGGCCCTCCTTCTCCTCCCACCCCCAGGGAGGGTGCACAGGCAAGACAGCGTCTTTCCTCAAAGACCCCTACTAGGCTGGGGCCTGGTGGAAGCAACTGGGGACTCTAATGCTCACCATGTCTTCCTTAGACCCTGTATCCCCTCACTTCAGGTTTGTCTTTGTGGGCTGGCACACAGTGAGTGCTCAATAAGCATTTGTTGAATTAGATGTTAGTTTCATGAAACAAAACAAAACTCCCACCTTACTTCATAGATTGTCCTGCAGATTAAATGACAGAATGCCTGTAAACTGCTTAGCACAGGGCCTGCCATGTAGCAGGCACTCAGAGGTGTCCTGACAGCCCTGTAGCTATATTTGCTAGATGAATGAACGGATGAGGACTGCTCTGTGTCCCCTTGCTGAAGTCCCTGTGTCTAGTGGCAGCACTCCAGAAATGGCACAGCGGCATGACTCACCTGCCTGGCACTGGCCAGCCATGGACTTGCCCTTGGGGGAGTGAGATGCGGATTCCTGGAGCTCCAGGGATGCCCTAGCCAGGACACAGCAGGCTCAGTCCAAGCTCCGCCTTGGCAACTTGATCTCTTCTTCCCTTGGGGTCCTGACCCTGTCCTCTTCCTCACTCCTCATTCAGTCACACTTCCTTTTTTGAATGGCATCTAACTGCAGACTGATTTATCTCCTACCTTCTGTTCCTGTTAGGGCGAGCTGTTCCCCTCCAACAAGTTCTTCTCAGGGCCATCGGAGCTGCTGTCCTAAAGTCAGTCAAGTGGTACCACTCTCCCTCACTCAACAACATTTAGTGGCTCCCTACTTCCCATAGAATAAATATCTTTTACATGGCTCTCTCTGGTCTGTCCTCTGCCTCCTTTCCAGCCTTACCCCCTGCCACCAGACTTTCTCGCAACAGCCATGCTCTCCCTCCTTTAGCTCCTGTCATTTCCTTAGCCTGGAATGCTCTCCCCTTGCACTCCACTTACCACCCTGAATGCCCAGCTCAAACATCATCCTATCAACAGAAGTCCTTGAAGGCTCATAGTCAGGATGATTCACCCTCCCTTTGTGTTCCTTCCCTTTTTTTGAGACAGAGTCTCGCTTTGTTGCCTGGGGTAGAGTGCCGTGGCATCTGTCTAGCTCACAGCAACCTCAGACTCCTGGGCTCAAGGATCCTCCTGCCTCAGCCTCCCAAGTAGCTGGGACTACAGGCAAGCGCCACCATGCCTAGCTAATCTTTTCTATTTTTGGTAGAGATGGGGTCTCGCTCTTGCTCAGGCAGGTCTCAAACTCCTGAGCTCAAACGATTTTTCTGCCAGCACTCCCACTCTATTTCCTTATCCCTGAGAAAGCACAATTACGCAGCGCACCAAGATTCAAAGGCCTGCCCAGGCCCGGCTGGCAGTCCTAGGAAAATCCCCGCTTCCTTCCCCATTGTTCCTTCCTCACTCTGTTCCCAGATCTTTATTCTTCAGGGACCAAACGCTAGAGTTTCTCCTGCTCCAGCCTCCCACCCAGCAGCTGGGGGATCTCAGGACCACACGTTCCTGACAGTCCCAGGCAGGGTCCCAGCTGTCTGCCTTGTACAGCCCACCCATCTCCCAAAGCCCAGGTGGGTGGGCAGAGTCTCATGAACCCAGCTCGGTGCCCCCACCCCACTGGCTCTCAGTTTTGGGGGCTGAAGCCTCGGTCTCCCACCGCTACCAACCCCCTCTGCCAGGAACACCCAAGGCAGGAATGGGACCAGCTGGGCCTTTGGGGACACCTGTCCCCCTCTCTCCATCAAAGGTGTGGCAGCCAGGCTCTCCCTCCCCTTGACGGCATAGCAGGATCCCTCACACCCTGCCCGCACCTTGCTCTCCTCTTCCTGTGCCAGCCGCTCCTCGATGAGCGCTGTGGCTCTCTGCACCGCCTCGGAGCCCTCCATGGTGCCGTCCATGACTGCCTCTGCAGGCCACAGGGCCTCGGGGGCTTTATAGGCCAGAGCACCCACCCCCGCCCGGCCGGGCGCCTTTTCCATGACTCACCGGCCCAATTCTCCACCTGCCTCCCCCACCTGTCACCTTCACCTCAGGCAGCCCCAGGAAGCAGAGGGGACCAGGGCCAGGGAGCAAGGCCAGTTGCCCCCCAAGTCCCTGACCTATCAGAGCCAGAGGGCACGACACCCCAAGAGCAGGGCTGCAGGAGGGAGCCTGTCCAGCCTCTGTCCTGAGTGCTGGGCCTGGCTGGGCCTCAGCCGGGGCAGCTGGGCTGCACAAAGGACCTGCTGGCTGCATGCCCCCGCCCGGATGATAGTGCCACCTGCTGGATGCCTGGAAACCCTGGCCAGCCAGCACCAGCAAGGGGGCCTGAAAACCACACGTGGGAACCTGACAGGTCTGCACCCCCAGGCTGTCCTGCAATAGGCCCCGCCGGCTACAAGGAGGGCAGAGTCTGCTTGTCCAGCAAGAGTAGTAGGGCAGTGGCAGGAGTAAGTGCAGCTGCCTCCCTCTTTGACGGTGGCTCCCGACAGCCTTTGCCTCTCTGGGGTCCCACAGTGCCCCCTAGTGATGCACCATTGCATTTGGCGGCATGACTTCGTGGACAAACTTAGCCATCTGTCTCCTCCCTCAGAGGCCTGGGGGCAGTCCTCTGCAGGGGTTACAGGGTCTTGCTTCAAGTGAAGGGTCTCAGGAAGCCAGAGTGCAGTGCCAACACCAGCTAGCTGCTGAGGGCTGCCAGCTGCTCAGGGTCATCCTTTTCTCCCGTGCTTTCCCTGTCAGGTCCAGACGGTGCCAGCCTACCCTGACTGGGGCCGGCCATGCTCACTGAGAAGGAAAAATACTCAATTGGAAGAGGAAGCAGATCTGTACTTTTTCAGGTCCACACCTGGCACCTGCAGGATCGAGCCCTGGGTCATCATGCCAGGGCTCCCCAGGAAGCGCAGACACCCAGCTCTGTGCTTCCGCGGAGCTCACATGCCTGCCCTTCGCCAAACAACCTTATTTAAGAGTCCCCCAAGGAGGCACAAGGAACTGGTTCCTTTTGCTCTCCGGTTCTCTTGCCAGCGAGTCAACACAAAGCTCTGACACGAGTTCATGATCTAAATTAAATCTGTCAGAGATGTTGCTTTAACATCCGGACAGGCATGGTGTCTCCAGGACTTCCCGCACACCTCTGCCATGAGGGCCATGCCCTCCTGCTGCCGCAGGCTCTGAGCACTTTCACACCTGTTTTCCTGTTTAATCCACCCAGCAACTGATGGAGCAGGCAAGGCAGGCGGCCTCAGCTCCACTTTAAAGAGAAGCTAAGTGGGTTCAGAGGTTAAGTGGCTTTTCTGAGGACCCATGAGAACACAGGAGGAGTTGGGATCAGGGCCCAGAGGACTAGCAGTCCACGGTTCACTCTGCATGTCCACCCTGCTGTGCCCACGCAGCTGGGGAAGCCGGGCACGCACCTGTTGCCACACCAGAACAAGCCCTAGCTCCACAGAGCTGCAGAAGAACTCAGTCACGTGCCAGGCAAGAGAGAAGGAGCAAAAGGCTTTATTGATAAATATGCAGATATGTCTGTACACAGGGACCTGCTGTGGGGCCATAACCAGGCTGCAGACTCTGCCGCCTGGGTTATAGCCAGGAGAAGGCCCTGTGCAGACCCCTGCCTCAACAGCCCAGCGCCCCCACCGCCTCGTCTCTGCCGATTGTGCTGGGGGCAGGGAGGCAAAGGCCCGCCTCAGGCTCCCGGAGCCCTGGGGCTCACTGGTGGTTCCCTCCCCCTGTAGGGGACTGGCACTGTGCCCAGAGCAGAGCCAGGGGTAGGGACAGAGGAGGGAGACAGCAGCTGCTTCAGACCCTGAGCAGAAAACCGGAGTGAGCACAGCCGGCAGCACCAGATGACAGATCTGGGCTCCAGGGGCCTCCTGGCTGGCCCTCGTGGCTGGAACCTGCTGCGGGAGAGAGACAGGGTAGAGGCCCTCGTTCACCTCCTCTCCGACAAGGCTGCAAGGCCTGTGTGTGGCAGCCTGCTCCCTGGGTGCCCTGGGAAGCATGGTCCCTTCACGGCTCAGCCAGCAGCCACACGCCAGGCTGGAGGACTAACAGCACTCGAAGGCAGCAGCAGGGCGGGGCCTAGTGCTCCAGAGGGGGCCGTTCAGCCCCACAGGGGCCTCTCTTCCCTGCGGTCCGTGGGCCCATCAGTCCTGGGGTGGCGGGGGCTGGTTGATGATGACCTGGATGACAAAATCTTTCTGGATCTTGGTCTCCTGGAGCCGTGTGCGGTCTGTGAGCAGCTTCCCGGAGAAGAACCATCGCTGCCAGGACGGCTCGATGCCCTCTTGGGCGTGCAGCTGCCTCTTGAGCTGCCCTACCGTGTCAGGCAGGCTGGCGCTGAGCCTCACGTCCTTGCCCGTGGACAGGCGCACCTTCAGCGGGAACTCATGGCGCACGCTGGGGGTGGGCTCGGGGGGCTCCAGGTTCTCCTCCTCGGTGTGCTCCAGCAGCAGGTTCACGGGCGGCGACAGGCAGTAGATGGGCAGCTGGTAGCGATTGCCCAGCTCGTCGTAGCATTCACAGAGGGTGCCTATGGGAGAGGCAGGGCCGTCAGAGTTGGCTCAGGGACCCGCTGTCATGGACTGAATGTCTGTGTCCCCCCAAATTCTTATGTTGAAATTCTAACCCAGTGTGACTCTATTTGGAGATGGGGCCTATATAGAAGTAATTAAAGTTAAATGAGGACATAAGGGTGGGGTCCTGGTCTGATACAATTAAGAGCTCTGTTTTGATTTTTTTAAGGGATAGAGTCTTGCTGTGTTGTCCAGGCTGGTCTCCAACTCTTGGGCTCAAGCAATCCTCTTGCCTCAGCCTCCAAAGTAGCTGTGACAACAGGTGCACACCACTGTGCCTGGCTTACAGTTCTTGTAAGAGATACCAGACACTGCCTTACTTTCTCTCTGCCCCTCCCTTCCATGTGAGGACACAGCAAGAAGGCGGCCACCTGCAAGCCAGCAAGACAGCTCTCGCCAAAAACCAAATTGGCCAGTACCTTGATCCTGGACTTCCCAGCCTCTAGAACTGTGAGAAATAAATGTCTGCTGTTGAAGCCACCCAGTGTGTGGCATTTTGTTATAGCAGCCTGAGCAGACTAATACAACTGCCATGGCCACACCATAGTCAGGTCTCCCTGGGACAGCCTTATGACCAGAGGAGGACAGAGGCTGGTGTCAGGAAGACTTGGGCTGACACCTTTGGTCCCACCAGGTATGGGCTCATTCAACCCTAGCACATTACTTAACTTTTCATTTGTACACATGTGCCGGCTGCTGGGGTTATAAGGACAAAGGAAACAGCACAGGCCCTGCTCTTCACAGACCGCAATTTCCTTACTGGTACAATGTTAATGCCTATAGAAATGTTTACTGTCTTTTGAGCACCTACTAAGTGCTGGGACTGGACTAAATGATGTTATGTGTATCTTCTTGAATCCTAATAATCATCTCCCCTTTACAGCTGTAAGGTACTTAGGCTCTAAATTCAAGAAGCTCAAGGTCATGCAGCTAGGAAAGGGAAACACTCAAGGTAAAACCCGGGTCCATGACTCCAGAGTTCCACTGTGACCCTCTGCTTTACACGGCCCCATAAGACTGCTATGAACTTAAATGAGATAATGTAGTGAAGCTTCTCGTTCAGTGCCCAGCACATAATAACCCAATAGAAGGTCAGTGTCTCAGATGTTCTGGGACCCCACAGCGCCCTGAGCAAGTCTCTAGCTTGCATTCATCACACTACTTTGCAGGGTTGTTGGTGCCTTTCTGTTCTCTCATTAGGCAAGCAGGAACCATGTCTTATTTTCCTTTGTGTCCTGGCCCATGCTCAGTGAGAGTTGCTTGAATGAGTAAGAGAATACCCGCTCCCCCCAACTCCAGCTTGGATAGGACCTCCTGACACGTGGCTGGCCACCGGCTCTCCTGTACCCCTCGGCTGTGCTGATGACTCCCTAGCTGCAGCAGGGATACAGCCCTGGCCCTGCCCACTCACCATGAGGCAGGGTGATGCTGGCTCCATCCAGGATGGCCTGGGCCAGCTCGTGGTCGTTGGCCTCGGCAGCGTAGGCGGCGGCCTTGAGGGCATCCCAGATCTCCTTGCGGCCCTCGAAGGCGGGCGCCGTGTCCCAGAACTCGTCTCGCTTGCTCCGCAGCTGCCCGTCGGTCATGGGGTAGTCACTCTTCCACTTGAGCCGCTCCTTCTTCAGGGGCTCATTGCGGCCTGGGCAGGACACAGAGAGAGGCTCAGCATCTCTGACGCCGCTCGAGCTGCGGTCCGCTCTCTCGCGCCTCCCTGGGCCACGCCCTGGCAGCCGCTCTTAAGTGTTTAGGTCCCTGGGGCCCTTCCTCAACAGCAGGGAACAGTCAGGACATTCCATGTACCCAACCCAGGCGCATAGAGTACTTTTGTCCGCAAAGCATATGCTGTCTTTGTCTCTACTGTTAAGTTTTAATTTTATTCTTTCTTTGATTAGAAAGCAGTACATGTTCAGTATTTAAAAACCTGGAAAGAATCCACACATGTAAAAATAGTAACTGCCACCATCTATGGAGCCGACTTGTGCCACATCACAGGTGAGGCACGTGGGACTCGTTATTCATTTGATCCTCAAAACCACCCAACAGATGGGGAAACCAAGACCCACAGAGTTTGCCTTTTGTCTGAAGACACACAGGTACTGACTTAGTGAAGACTTTCTGATGCCAAAGCCCACCTCTGACCACTGTCTGTACCATGCTGCCACTCAGAACCCCACCATTCAGACGTAATCACTGTTAACGCCTCAATCTATCTCCTTCTCGCTTCCTCTTCCCCCATTTTTCTCAATATAGTTGAGTTAATATTATGAAGTGTATTTGCTTATATTTTGTGTTCCAGAAAGGATATAAGAGGTTTATGTACAATGTACAACTTTTTGTTTATTTCACTTATATTACTGTAAACTTCCCAAATGATTAAAAATTATCAACAATTTTAATGTCTTGCTACTAAAATCATAACTGATCAACAGCCAAAAATTCCTGCGGCATCTAAAAAAAAAAAAAAAAGCAATTCTGTCAAATGTCATTTTTCTTGTTACCCAGCTCCTAGGGATCTTTAAGACAACTCTAGACCACGGCCAAACTGAGGGTAGAGGTGTCTCTCAAAGGCTTCTGGAAGCTCAGTCATCTCAAAGCTGGAGGCAGAGTGATCTGCAGAGTGAGGTGTAAGGTACTCAGCTTCCACTGTAACTCAGATCCTACAAGTGACAGTTGGAACCAAGGCTGGAGGCTGCCACCAGGCCACTCCTGGCTGGGGCAGGAAGAGGAGGGAGAGAACAGCATTCACTGACCACCAGCTGTGTGAAAGGACCCCAAGTAAGCTCTTTATTTATACACATTATCCCATTTCATCCTTGCAATAGCCTTAGGCGGTAGGTATTATTACTGCTATTTCACAGATGATAGGGCAGATTTAGAGAGATTAAATGACTGGCCCCAGGTCACACAGTGATTGAGTGAGAGTTCCGCCTCAGTGCCGACTAAATCCTGTGTTTGCCATCTGAATTCACAGCTACCTGTGTGGGCAGAAAACTCTATAAAGCAAAACATTTAATTTAAAGTGTTCCCGGGGTTGCAGAAGGAAATGCAAACCCTCTTAGGAGGAAAACAACTTCAAACCAGGCCTCAAAGAATTCTCAAGATAAAGTTCCAAGGAAAATAAATAATAAGGTCATAGTTTAAAAAAGAAACTCACAACAGGCAAGGAAACAAGGCAATATGAGCCACAGCCAGCAAAAACAGCAGACAGAAGAATCAGATTTACAAAGACGTTGGATATGGAACTTATCAGACACAGATTATGAAATACCAAGTTTAAGAAATAAGAGTACATTAACAATACGAGTAAGTAATAAGGAATGACCAACTAGATTTTTTTTTTTTTGAGAGAGTCTCGCTGTTGCCCAGGTTAGAGTGAGTGCCGTGGCGTCAGCCTAGCTCACAGCAACCTCAAACTCCTGGGCTCGAGCGATCCTTCTGCCTCAGCCATAGCCAGTCCCGAGTAGCTGGGACTACAGGCATGCGCCATCATGCCCGGCTAATTTTTTATATATATATCAGTTGGCCAATTAATTTCTTTCTATTTATAGTAGAGACGGGGTCTCGCTCTTGCTCAGGCTGGTTTTGAACTCCTGACCTTGAGCAATCCGCCCGCCCCGGCCTCCCAAGAGCTAGGATTTTTTTTTTTTTTTTGAGACAGGGTCTTGCTCTCTCTTCCAGGCTACAGTTCAGTGGTGTCAGCATTAGCTCACTGCAACCTCAAACTCCTGGGCTCAAGTCATCCTCCTGCCTCAGCCTCCCAAGTAGCTGGGATGACAGGCATGTGCCACCACACTGGCTAATTTTTCTACTTTTTGTAGAGATGGGGTCTCGCTCTTGCTCAGACAGGTCTTGAACTCCTGGCCTCAAGCGGTCCTCCTGCCTCGGCCTTCCACAGTGCTAGGATTACAGGTGTGAGCCACCATACCTGGCCCAAGTAGATTTTAAAAGAATCATATAGAACCCTTAAAAATGAAAAATATAACAATTGAAATTCAGATGGCCTAATACTTTAAATTAGAATTTCCAGAAGGATACAAGAGGAAGAATGTGGATGAAGCAATATTGAAAGAAACAATAGAGATGTTCCTCCTCTCCTAAACTGATCTATAAATTTAATGCAATTCCAATGAAATTCCCAACTAGGAGCTTTTTCCCAAGGAACCTGGCAAGATGATTCTACAATATCTATAGAAGAACAAAGCTGCTCCTAGAGAAGAATGAAGTGGGAGAACTTGCACTGCCATTATCAATACTAATTATAAAGCCATAGCCAGCACAGTACTGCAAGAGGGACAGACAAATTAGAATAGAGTCCAAAAATAGACCCAGGCATGAACAGAAAAACTTGCTTAAAGTGAGAAAGAACATTGCTGATGGGGGTGGAAGATGGACTATTTGATATGTGGTGTTGGGACTACAGGTTCTGCACATAAAAAAATATACAATGGAATTCCTACCTCAGGCCAGCCACAAAAATCAAAACTGGATAGATCAAAGGCTTCAATGTGAAAGACAGAAAGGAGGCACTAAAGGAATGATGATTACAATTTTTTTCTAGTATTTTTTGTGAAGTTTGGCCTGGAGGTGTTTGTGCCTTGACCAAGGAAGTAGCTCCGTTTCTGGACTCCTTTTCTTTTTGATTCTTAGGCACTGATGACTTCCTAATAAGGGCTTTGATCCATCAGCCCTCACAGTCATGCTACAGTGACACCCTCAGGGACCCGCCTTCACTCAATGACTTCTTAACTTCACTGGCTTTTTAACTTCTCGAGCTGATTACTGTGGTTTCCCCACCTCCTTTCTCTTTGCCAGATGTCACTTCTTCCTGGTCTCTATCTGCTGCTCCTAGCATGGGTGGAGGTCAGGTCCAGCTAACGGACCACTGTGAATCTGCGGAGGGCCCAGGAAGGGCACAACCACGCTGTCAGCATGGTCTAAGAAAGAAGCTTCCTGCAGAAGAAAGAGACTAGGCTTCGGGACATTTCAAATGTTCACCTTTTGGCTCTGTTCCCGACACAGTGGTTGCTGGACTGTGACCGCAAGGACATCTGGGCTGTAACTGTGTGTACCTGCAGCTCGCTCTCTCTTGAGAACTGATCTTTAAAATAAACACAGCCCCATGGTGGCCCCTTTCAAAGTTGTCACCTCAGGAGGCCACGCGTGTACCTGAGAGATGCTGCCTTGGCTCACAAACCTCTTCCGAAGTGCCTTCGAGGTTACCTCCCCCTGCACTCAGACAGCAGCTGGGGTTCCTAACAGTCTCACCCACAGACCACACACTGCAAGAGAGCCTCTCCGAGTATAAACAGCATCTGCAGTGACCCAGGATATGGCGGTTTTAAAATTCCTCACTCTACTGAGCAGGGCCTTTGTGGCTGAAAATCAGAATGGGGTGGAGGGTGCAGGGGTCAGGCAGGGTTAAGGTGAGAGCCTCAGGAACCCGCCCATTGCCTTCGCAACTGTCACTGCCCCTCTGGGCCAGCAGAGGGCAGCCACAGCCCCTCTGCGCGGTGCTGGGTCCGTTCCTTAGTGGGTCAGACACTCAGCATAAGAACATGGACAAAGTTCCCCAGGCCCAGAGATGTGCCAGATGTCTGGAGCCCTACACACTGGTACTTACAATCTTAGGCACAGATATAGACAAGGACAGAAAAGAAAGCTTTCCATCTAAGCATATAGCAAACTTACCAATATTTTAGTTTCATTTACTTAAAAAAATATATTTTATAGTTAGTTTAGTAAAAAAAAAAAAAAATTGGACAGTTTACGTGAACACTCATACGCTACACCAATTGGTACAAACTTCCTGGAGAGCACTTGGTATGGTACTGAAAAATGTAAAAATGTACATCCTTTTGGCTTAGCTATTTGGTTTCTAAGAATTTGTTCTAAGAAAATAATCATAAGCATGTGGCAAAGATTTATCTACAAAGCTGTTTAACACAGTATGGTTTTTCTGTTTGTTTTGAGACTGGGTCTTGTTCTGTCACTGAGGCTAGAGCACATTGGCTTGATCATAGCTCACAGCAACCTCAAACTTCTGGGCTCAAGCGATCCTCCTGCCTCAGCCTCATGAGTAGCCTGGACTATAGGTACATGCCACCACACCGGGCTAAGTTTTCCTGTTTTTAGTAAAGATGGGGTCTCACTCTTGCTCAGGCTTGTCTCGAACTCCTGGCCTCAAGTAATCTTCCTGCCTTGGCCTCCCAGGGTGCTAGGATTATACCCATGAGCCACCATGCCTGGCCCACAGCATGGTTTTTAACAGAGGAAAGCTAGAAACAACCTAAATGTACACCACCAGGAGAAAGGCTAAAAAATATCTGTGCATCTATACAAATCATTGGTGGCAGCCATTCTTTGACAGCGAGGCAGGATGCTGAGTAACGTGGGGAAACGTTCACAATACAGGGAAAAAAACTTCCAAATGGCCAGTACTCTGTGCTCCAGCTTTTGCTTTTAAAAATGTATAAGCCAGGTGCAGTGGCTAAAACCTGTAATCCTTTGGGAGGCTGAGGCAGAAGGATCACTTGAACCTAGGAGTTAATGGATACAGTGAGCTATGATCATGCCACTGCATTCCAGCCTGGGTGACAAAGCAAGACTCTGTCTCTTTTTTTTTTTTTAAAAAAAGGCAAAATGTGGCTCATGCCTGTAATACTAGTACTCTGGGAGGCTGAGGTAGAAGGATCACTTGAGGCCGGCAGATCAAGATCAACCTGAACAAGAGCAAGACTCCACCTCTACAAAAAATAGAAAAATTAGCTGGGTGTGGTGGGATGCACCTGTAGTCCCAGCTACTCGGGAGGCTGAGGCAGCAGGATCACTTGAGCCCGGTTTGAAGTTTCAGTGAGCTATGATGATACCACTGTACTCTACCAAGGATGACAGAGTGAGATTCTGTCTTAAAAAAGAAAAAAAGTATGTATAATTATATATTTTAAAAAGACTGGAATGATTTATACTAAAATGTTAATAGTGGTTATATCTAATTGGCAGTTACCTATGAATTTTTTGGCTTATATTTTCCAAGTTTTCTATAATAACAATTTAGGGTGTGACACCTTAGTATTAAGAATAATACAATAAAAGTTGTTAATGAAGAAAGCGGGTGCATGGAGTTCTGGGGGAGCAGCCATGGTAAGTAGAAAGAGTTTGGGGAGCCGAGTGAGGGGGTCTAGGGCAGTGGTGATCTGGGAAGTCCAAAGCCCCCAGCCTGTAGGATTTTAGTTGCTGGCAGCTCTTGCTGGCTTTGTCGAGGGCCAGGATAGGCTCTGCTGGTTTCAGCAGCAGAAGCATTTAGTGGCTTCTACTTATGTCTCCACCTGTCCCAGATAAGCTTCAGGTCAAAGACAGAGCAAGATAAACAGTCCCTTCCTTCGTGACATTGACTAAAGGGAGATTTTAAAACAATGAAAGATCACTGTGTAGTCAGGTACACAACTTGCAAAGGGAGGCCACAGGGCAAAACACCCACCAAAATCAGGGGCTTCTGTGATTGTGGTGGGTAGGGAACAGCAAAAAATGTTTGTGATTGAACAGAGAATGCATGTGTCTGAGTACACAGGTAAAAGCAGGGGCCACAAAGGGTTGTCAAAAACACCTACATTAGGATCTCCTGGGGTGTTGGTTAAAAAGACGGATTCCCAGCCTGGGCAACAGAGCAAGACCCTGTCTCTACAAAAAAGTAAAAAAAATTATGGGGAGTGAAAAAAGAAAACATTAGCCAGGTGTGGTGGCACATGCCTGTAGTCCCAGCTACTCAGGAGGCTGAGGCAGGAGGATCACTTGAGCCCAGGAATTTACAGTGAGCTATGAGGACACCGCTACACTCCAGCCTGTGTGACAAAGTGAGACCCTGTCTCATTTTTTAAAAAAATGGCAGATTCCCAGGCCCACCCTGGACCTAGGAAATTAGTTGCAGGGGCTGGGCCAGGGTATGTACTTGATTCTGGTTTGACAGCCCATTTGTAAGCACAGCAGAACAGAAATGGAAAGGGCATGCTCGATCACACCTTAACATCAACAGTTCAGTGCATGGTCTCCAACTCCTGCTGAGAGCTGATTTGGAGAGTGAAGAGGGAAAAGAGCAGGAGGGCTGGAGGAGGATAATGATGGTAGTGGATGCTGTGGTTTGGCCTCGATAATGAATGGTGTCTGGTGATACTACCCCCAAGGGAGGGCACTGGAAGAAGAGTGGGAGAGAGAACACTGAAGGTGCTCTCCAAGTTGCCCAGCACTGGTGTGCATCTACGGGAGATGTGTGTGCTCCCACCCTGACTCACACTGCTGAATTCACACTGCTGAATTCGCACTGCTGAATTCACACTGCTGAATTCGCACTGCTGAATTCGCACTGCTGAATTCGCACTGCTGAATTCACACAGAAGCGGGGATACAAGACACGAGAAGGACAGCAGACCCTGGCTGCTGCTCTGTAAATACCCACATGCCTTGCAGTGGGCTTGCCCCAGGGCGGTTCTCAGCAAGTACCTACTGAATTGAGTGGAACGACACACAGCACAGGCACGGTAGGCAGGCGGGGGATGCAGGAGAGAGTCTGCCGAGGAAAAGTCAGGAGGACCCTTCGCTTCTTGTTCTTGGACCCCAAGAGATCCTTACTGTGGCTGCAGGGACTAGAATAAGTGAGCCACTGGGGTGTGACACCAAATCTGAGACCAGCCAAGGGGAGCAGAGATTTCCCCAGTCAGTCCACCCTAGCCAGGAGACAGCCCTATTTATTCCTGCAGCAATCCCCAAGCTATTTCCACACTCGTTACCAAGCTCTATCCCCAGGCCCTTGCTCCAGGGATGGGGCCAACAGTGTCCTCCCCAGAAGCACCAATTATGTGACAAGTCTGGGCTTGCTCTGCCTGGTGCGATATGTCTCCAGCAGGAGAGGGAAGGAACTAGAGCCTCTCTGTCCCAACAGCCTGGCTGGCAAGCGGCAAGGGCCCTCTGGCCAGGACGCAGACTGGCATCTCTCCCCGCCTCGCCCTCCCACCCCAATAGTCACAGCTGGAATGCAGGTGGGCTGAAGTGTCCCACCTGGCAGCGGGGATAAGAGGTCAGACAGAACAGAAGGTCCCAGAAGAAGGATCAGCCCAGGTGGGGAGGGTGCAGCCGGGGGAAGTGGAGCCCAGGTAATCCCTTCAGGAAGCGAGATATTTATAGTTAGACTTAGCCCAGGATGACCCTCAGAGCCTGGGTGACTTCGAAGGGAAAGTGCTGGCCCAGCTCTGGTCAGCTGGGGCCTCCCACGCTCTGAGATTTGGTGGCCTCTTTATGGGCCTGTGGGCCTTTCCTCCCCATTCATTCCCTTAGGCCCCAGCTCCAGGGTTCAGGGAGATAAAGGGGTGGAGCCAGTTGCTAAGTGACTAGTCAGGCTTCCTAAACTGCATCCCTCTTGGGGCATGCTGGGTCCCAGGTGGTCCCGGGGAAGAGAGCCCCCCTTCCCCTGGGAGGCCTGCTCTGGGCTCCGGGACGGCACCCAGCCCAGGGCAGCTGCAGTTCTCTGCATTGACCTTGTTTGTCGGCCTGAGGCTGGGGCTACCTCCCGTTCATCTTCCTGATCCCAGAGACTGGGTCAATGTCTGGCATGCCGCAGATCTCAGTAACTGTTGGCCACTTGAGTGAGAGAAATGGACAGGATGTTTAGGAAAAGCAGGAGCAGCTGGAGAAGGGAGGGGCAGATGGGGGAGCAGTGGGGAGCAGACAGCTGCCTGTAAGACACCCCTGCGAAGGGGAACGGGGGACCACGTTTTGTGAACACATCTCACTGAATGGGAAGAGAAGAAGGAAGAAGGTGGGCGGAGGTTGGAGTCCAGGAGGGACAAAACCAGTCACCAAGTTAGGTACACAGTAAGAGGACCTGCTGGAGGATGAGGGCCCGGAAACCTCTGTGGCCACGGCAGAGACGAAATCGCAGCCAAGAGAAACAGACCTACCCAGGCCTCGGTGCCGAGGCGGCTGCAGGCGCAGACAAGGGGGCCCACACCAGCGTGGAGACAGGCCGGGCTTTCACCGCGCTGCACAACGTGCGCATTCACGGGGTGGGCTGCGGGTGAGCTGGGGAGAGCAGGCCTTTATCTGCTCTGCGTCCAGCCCATGGCCCCTGGCCGCATCAGGCCAGGCTGGAGGGAGGGGGCATCCCAGAACTGGGCACTGCCCAGCAGTCCCCGTACCCACTTCCTCAGGGAAAACTGCCTTTCTGATCTCAACTACGAACAGAACCCCCATGTCTTCACGGTCTAACTCCAGGTTCTAACCTGCAATGCAACTAACAGCTTCTTTTCTGAGGCTGGTCTGGAAAGCATTCTGTCCTCCACAAGCAGAGTTAAACATCGGGTGCCTGGAAAGTGACTGTACTTCTTGTTTCAGGTTCCTATGTTCCACTCTTGCAGGGAATACACTCTCGTCTTCACCATGTACTGATGTGTTTCTTCCCAAGTGCAACCAGGGTCCTGGCCTGAACGTGAACTGCGCCAGAATTAGCAGCTCTAGAAGAGAACTTTGATCACACGTGTTTTCTGGCAACCTAGACCACAGATAATTATGAGTAAAGAGACACTGTAGCCTCTCTCTGCAATCTGGCTGCTCACACATGGGCTTCAGAGATGGGCATTAGGGGTTCTCGCTGGCCACTGACCACCATTGTGAACGTGGATGGATAACCTCATCATCCTAAGCCTCAGAGTTCCCATCTTATAAAAAGAGCCCATAACTCCCACCTCAGATTGCTGTAAGGATTAAATGAGACCGCTCTGCTCAGTGCTGAAAAGACAGTAGCTACTACAGTCAACCCAAGTCAATAATGCTTATTACCATTACACAATCAAAGGATACCATTTTTTTTTCATAAAGTTGCTGTGATTCTGAAAAATTACTCCTGCTGTAACGAACTCTCGGTCTTTACCTTGTAGCGCAGGAGAATGCAGGGGTTAAATGAAGTTAAGTGGGACAGGGACAAAGAGTGGGCTTGACAGATGCCCACCTCCGGGTGCTGGCTGCACAGTGTGGAGTCAGCACTTTTCCTGGGGCAGAGGAGGGAAAATGGCAGCTAATAAATAAAACAGGAACTCTCCAGAGGGTGCTACAAGAAAGATCTCCTCTGTCTGGCCACTCCCCTTGCTACCTCAGGACTCCAGGGAGGGGAGGCAGGTCTTCTCTGCCACTGTGGTTTCTACAGCTGGACGCAGCAGCCCAAACTCCCTGCCTGCTGGCAAGGAGCGGGACCCAATGAGCACCAGGTGCGGCAGGTGCCCCAGGGCCGAGAGGAAAAGCCTGACTTCTGACACCGGGACTCTGCCCCACAGGGTGTCAACTGTCACAGCATACCACTCAGACATGTACCACTCCCTCCAGGCATGTCCCCCTGAGAATGGCAGAGTCCAGGAGTGACCTTAGAGTCATCTGCACTAGCCACTTTATTTCACAGATGAGAACACCTAGGCTGAGAGGTGACGTGACTTGCTCCAGACCCCACAGCCGTTTCTCGAGTGTGTGTGTGTGTGTGTGTTTGTGTGCGCGCGTCAGGAGGTGTGTGGCAAATTCTTTCTACCCAACCACTCCACCGCCAGCGAAAGGTGAATTACGACTAGAGCATGAAAATGTCAGGAGTGGCACGCACAGAGACAACGGATATGCCAATGGAAAAAGCAGCAAGTATTTGACCTCACTAGCATGGAAAAAATAAATAAAATAAAATAAAATAGCAGCAAGTAAAAGGCACAGCAAGAGCCAGAGTGGAGGAGCAAGGATGCCGGCCTGCCCTTGCACTTCCCACTGGAGACGAGCGGGTCGGAGAGCTGGGCCCTCCCAGGACACCTGGGCTGGGGTGCCCACACCTGACTGGCACCCAGGTCTCCCATGGGGTTGACAGGAACACAGACCCAGCCACCAGCTCAAGACTCTGATAGAGACTAACCTCCCACCCCATGCAACAGCCCTGCTGAGGCAGTTCAGCCTCTTTGCACCCCATGAGCCAAGGTGCTCACTAGGCCAAGAGGAAGCCTATTACGCTGTTGGATGAATCTAGAACAGAGACACATAAAAGCTGAAGGTATAGGTTTTGGAGTCAGACAGACCTGGGCTTTTGAACATCAGCTCCATCATTAATTAATCAGCTAAGTGACCCTGGGCACATGCCATAAGCTTTCTAGTCTCTTCTAGGAGGTAGGGAGTGGTTACAGCCCTGCCTCTTAGAGAAGTTGGGAGGACTGAAGATTTTCACATGCACACAAATATAATCAAGAAGTTTATACATAATAAATCAACTAATCTAGCGCCCCTGGTGATGTCTTAGCACCAAGCCCCACCAAGCTCTTGCTTCCTTAGCCTGAAGATCACACATACACACACACAAACACACACACGCACGCACCATATCTGCTACACAGTAGGTGCTTATTCTATCATTGTACAGTTGACCCTTGAACAAACATGGGTTTGAACTACACAGGTCCACTTATAAGAGGATTTTTATCCGCCTCTGCTACCCCTGAGACAGCAAGACCCCTCCTCTTCCTCCTCCTCAGCCTACTCAGTGTGAAGACGACAAGGATGAAGACCTTTATAATCCACTTCTACTTAATGAACAGTGATCATATTTTCTCTTCCTTATGATTTTCTTAATAACATTTTTCTCTAGCTTATTTTATTATAAAATACAGTATAATACATATAACATACAAAATGTATGTTAATCAACTGTTTGCTATCGGTAAGACTTCTGATCAAAGTAGGCTACTAGTAGCTAGGTTTTTAGGGAGTCAAAAGTTGTATATGGGCCGGGTGTTATGGCTCAGACCTGTAATCCTAGCACTGTGGGAGGCCAAGGTGGGAGAATTGCTTGAGGCCAGGAGCTTGAGACTAGCCTGAATAAAAGTGAGATCCCGTTTCTACAAAAATTAGAAAATTTAGCTGGGCGTGGTGGCATGTACCTGTAGTCCCAGCTACTTGGGAGGCTGAGGCAGGAGGATCACTGGAGCCTAGGAGTTTGATGTTGCAGTGAGCTATGACAAGGCCATTGCACTTTAGACTGGGTGACAGAGCAGCGAGATACTGTCTCAAAAAACAGTGTTATATGTGGATTTTTGACTGTATGAGGGTTGTCGCCCTTAACCCCAAGTTGTTCTAGGGTCAACTGTAGTCATGTGCTTTTATTATTAATATTGTTATTTTAACCTGAAATCCATCGGCTCTGCTCTCTGGAATAACATAACAAGCCATAATCTCTTCCACGAGGCTATTTGACATTTTGCAGTTCTCCAGACTGAAGATGCCTATTTCCTCCTACTGTTTCTCCATCTTCTTTACCATTTCATTCACCTTCCTTTAAGCTAACCTAACAGCCCAGGTGACATCTGCCCAGCGGGCTCTTGCATCCCTTATCTGAGGACCAACCCTCTGCTCCACAGCAAGTCTGCCCACAACTGTTGCAGCTGGAGCTGGGAAAGATCCCCACAAATTTCCCCCTGGTCGTGCCTCCCACTTGCCGAAGAGCATGCACAACGCTCTTCGGCAAGTATTGTTCCCCTCCTTTCACAGATGAGGACGTGAGGATCAGGGACCCCGAGGTGATGGCAGGAATCCAGCGAGCAGTTTCAGATCCCTGTACTCCCGGCCCACTGCCACTCCGGGTGGTGAGCAGCAGCGCTGGTCAAGTCCTATTATTTAGTCCACATCCCAGCAACAGGCTCTCAGCTAGTGTCTTTCAGGTCTGTGTCTTCAGTGGGGTGAACCTGGCATCAGAAGACCTGGGTCAGTTCCCATCGTGACATGCTATGTGACCTGGGGCAAGGGGCTCAACCTCTCCAAGCACATCTGCCAATGTGAATGCCCTAGGAGCATTCCTAGGCATTCACTCCAACTGCCCTAAAGAGACTTCAAGATGCTCCAGGGAGTTTCTGTGTGAAGTACGAAGTGCACACACAGATGTGCGACACTCCTGAGACCTGGAATCCCACCTTCTCAAGGCTTCTTCACGTGGCACAGCTCAGGATCCACGACACTCGGTCTGTGCATCAGCAGAGACGTCCTCACTTGAGCACATTCATTCCCCTCCAGAGCCAGGCCTGGGCCTTGCAGGCAGCTGCGCCTGACTCATCTCTTCCTCTTCCTCCTCTACAGCCCGTGACTCACCAGCCCCATCAGGCCGCATCCTCCTGGGCTTCCTCCCCAAGCGCTGCCTGGTCAGGATGCAGGACTGAAGCCCTCTTCCCACCAAAGCCCCACAGCCCCCTCTTCTGACCCTCCGGGTCTGGCGTCCCACAACAGCCTGGGCCGCAGCAGCGTGTGCGTCCCCGTCAGCTGTGCTGTCCTTGCAACGTGACTGTCAACTCCTGGAGGGCAGGCTCTCAGAGGCAATCCAGTGTGGTCCATCCGAACACAGCTGCCTGGGGCCCACCCCAGGATTCTGATTTCCCCGCTCTGGGGATGGCCTGAGCATCAGAGGGGTTTAAAAGCCCCCCCAATATGGCCAGGCCTGAGAAGCCCTGGTCTGGAACCAGGCTGCCCAGCTGGCTGGCTGCTGCGGCTGGGTTTAATTAGTCCTCTGAGAGGGCCCGGCAGGGGGTGTTCAGGGAGAACCCCATGCCTGCCTGAGGCTGACCATCTGGACAGCCCCTTTAAGGCTTATAGCCAGGCTGGTCAAAAGGCAAGAAGGGGATGGTTCAGGGGACCCTCTGCTTGGGGAAACCTAGCTGTACTGGCCACAGGAAAATACCCCCTTTGCAGAGAGAGGAGAGGGCAGGCCAAGCCACACGGCCAAGGGCATGGCTTTGGAGTCAGACGGCCCTGGACTAGCTACCTCACTCTCCTTACTAGCCAGGAAGGCCCCTTCGCCCCTCCCACGTCCACTTTACTCAGCCTGGGGCCTGATCTTCTGTGCCTAGTGTGGCCAGCACCCAGACACCCTCTTCTGAGGGGACACGAAGGCCTCTTCCTCCAGGGCCAACCACAGCCCTCTGCATAGAGAATGAGCAGCTCCAAGGCAAGTGGGATGAGTGGGAGTGCAGAGGGAGTGAGGCCCTATTTCCTAAGAAAACCCCCTACCCCCTCCCCAGCTGCTCTGGGCACAAAGAAGGGAAAAATCTGACTCATCAGTGCTGGTGTGACTCACAGGCCAACAAAACTGACTTGCCAGACCGGCCAGGAGGGGAGCCCACTGCTCCCACCACGACTGGGGCAGGGCAGGGCAGGTACAGCCCTCCCCCATCCCTCCTGCTGCTAGAGGACGCATCCTGCCCCCACCAGTGCCAGGCCTCGGGGGGCTGGCCTGGCTGCAGCCCTCATCAGCTTGGCCCCTGACAGCTCGGCCATACCCTCCCACGGCTGCTTCAGTAACCTCCTAGTGAGGGGTGGGCTGGGAGCAGAGACAACTCACAGGACTTGGGACGCAGAGAGGTGGCTCTGGAATCAGGGATGACCTGGGTCTCACTGTCACCTGCACCACCCCCAATAGGTATGACCTGGAGCAGCTTAATCTCTGGGCCTGTTTTCATATCCATAAAATGGGAGCAATAAAAAATCCACATGTGAGGCCGACACGAGACACGCTACGCAATCTAGTACTGTGCGGAACACAAAGTGGGAGCTCAGAACGGTAGCAATTATCTACTAGTTGTATAAGTACTAGTTTTAGGATTATAAAGACTTTTTTTTACATGCTTCATTTCACTTAATCCTTACCGCAACGCTCTTCGGCAAGTACTGTTCCCCTCCTTTTACAGATGAGGACGTGAGGATCAGGGACCCCGAGGCGATGGCAGGAATCCAGCGAGCGGTTTCAGATCCCTGTACTCCGGGCCCACTGCCCACTCCAGGCGGTGAGCAGCAGCGCTGGTGCACACACACAGCTGGCAGGCGCGGGCGCAGCCCTGCCTCCGGCCAGGAGGGAAGGCCTAGCTGCGACACTACTGACCAGTCCTGCCCTGCCGCCGACCCAGCCTGGCTCAGCTCTAACCCACACGGCGCTTCCAGAAATTTACTCGCTGGTGCCCAGGTGTCAGCTTCCACGCCAGGCTGAGCTCCTCAAGGCAGCACCCAGTCTCCTCGGTGTTGGCCCCAGCCTGGAGTCAGACAAGCAGTACCACTGGGATGCCAAAACTCCTGACTCCAGACCTGAGACAGAACCTGGCTCTGCCACTTACTTGCATGACTTGGGCATGTTATTTAACCTCTGAGAACCTCAGTTTCTTCATCTGGAAAATGGGGATA